TGGGGTAACCCAAAGGTAAATTGGATTTTCCTGTCAGGACAGATGTACCCAAAGGCAGGGAAGGGATAAATACAGGGAAATGAGGTTACACATACTTCCCTCTGGAATAGATTGAGGGAAGCGATAGTGCCACTGTATTCTGCTTTGGCCAGGCCCCACCTGAAAAACTGTGTCCAGTTCCAGGCACCACAATTCAAGAAGGATGTTGACAAACTGGAGTGGGAGGGCAACTAAAATGGTGAAGGGTCTGGAAATCATGCCCTAGGAGGAACGACTTAGGGAACTGGATGTGTTTAGCCTGGAGCAGAGACGGTTAAGAGGGGATATGACAGCCTTGTTTAAATATTTGAAGGGGTGTCATATGAGGATGGAGCAAGCTTATTTTCTTCTGCTCAAGAGAACAGGACCCGAAACAATGGATGTAAGCTCCGGGAAAAGAGATTCCACCTAAACATTAGGAGGAACTTCCTGACAGTAAAAGCTATTCGATAGTGGAACATGCTCTCTTATTCATTTCTTAAAATTAGTAAGGAAGTTTTCTTCTTTTTACAAGTAACAAACTTGAAAAGAGTCACCAGCAGTTTACTGTTCTGCAGCATTGTGTTAGAACTATATTATCTCACAGGATTTTGCAGACCATTGTTGCAAGAGCATAACAAAGCAGAATAGCAACATTCTTCCATTAAAGGTGAGCATCCCACATGCCTACATGAGGAAGCTCGTCTCACCCACAGATTACTCAAGACCCATTTCCGGAAAGCCCATTAACTTTGATGTGGCTGGCATATTAGGAACACCTTGCATAAGACATGAAAGGCCAGGCTGTGAAACATTCAAGCATACAACATCAACCACGCTTAAAACACAAAATAATGAGGGGTGCTCACCCCCTACCCTGTACTCCTTGTATGCCAACCCCAACAAGTAATATGATAAGCACCTGACGGTTGTTTCAAATATGTTTGCATCCCAACCCAAGAGTATCTGGTCTGGCCAATTTATGCTTGAGAAAGTTTAACACGCAATGTCTTTGTCAATTCTAATACTGTGCTGTAGTTGATAAAGAGACCTCTGAGAATTATACTGGTATTGGAGGCTCTTTTGATTTTGAGGAAAGTCCCTTTTCTCCAGGTGGCACAAATGTCATCACAAGGAAGTTACTGCTGGCATTCATTTGGCTATTCACAAAGGAACTGTGTATACATATGCTAATATAAGTCTTCCAGATGTTAAGTTGTTAGACCAGTTCCATTCTTATCAGTTTAACTAAACCAACACTTCTCCTACCTTGGCAACCCCATTTTTCCAAGTGTTCAAGATGAGGCCTGCATTATAATGTCAGTAACAGCCATGGTCAACCTCTTAACTAAAAAGCAAACAAAACCCTTTAGTCCACCTTCTTTTTTTGTGGTGCAGTGGTCTGAGTGTTGGATTACAACTCTGGAGATCAGGGTTCGATTCCCTACTTGAAATAAAAACCTACTGGGTGACCTTGGGTAAGTCACACTTTCTCACCCTCAGAGGATGACAATGGCAACCCCCCTCTGAAGAAACCTGCCAAGAAAACCCTATGATAGGCTTGCTTTAGGGTTGCCATAAGTCAAAAACTGACTTGGAGGCGCACAACAAGAAGGGTCAAAGATGGTGTTGGAATAAGCTGTGGGGCAAACACAAAATTTGGAGTGACACCTGACCACCCAGCATCTGAGCAAGCAAACCAAATCTACGACAGCTGATGCTACAACCTCTTTCCCTCCATTAGTCCCACAGGTGCTACAAGATCCCTTTGCATCTTAATTTTCCAGGCTAACATAGCTGGTGCATCTGCACTGTAGAAATAATGTCATTTGGCACCCCTTTAACTGCCATGGCTCTATCT